TTGTGCTTTTGGTGTTATATCTAAGAACTCTTTACTCAGCCAAGTTCATGAAGATTTTCTCATGTTTTTTCCTAAAAGATTTTGTAGTTTTAGGTTTTACATTTATATTTAAGATCCATTTTGAGTTATATTTTTGTAAGGTATGAGGTATAGGTTGAGTTTCACTTCGTTTGCATATGGAGATCCAATTTTTTGTTTGTTTGTTTGTTTTACTCTTTGGCTGCACGGCAGGGCATGCAGGATCTTAGTTCCCCAACCAGGGATTGAACCTGCGCCCCCTGCAGTGCAAGTGCAGAGTGTTAACCACTGGACTGCCAGGGAAGTGCCTCCAATTCTTAAAATACTCTTTGTTGCAGGAGTCCCCCAGCCCCCCAGCACCGCACAGCAGGAGGTGAGCGCATGACTTCCTGAACTGTCCCCCGCCCCCGTCTGGGGGAAAACATTGTCTTCCAGGAAACAGGTCCCTGGTGCCAAAAAGGTTGGGGACCCCTGCCTTGTTGAGAATAATATGCTTTCTCCATTGAGTTACTTTTGCATCTTTGTTGCAAATCAGTTGACCATATTTATATGGGTTTATTTCTGGACTGCCATCTGTTCCATTGGTCTGTGTGTCTCTTCTTTTACCAGTACCACACTGTCTTGAATACTGTACTTTTCTATAGTAAGTCTTTAAAGTAGAGTGGTGTAAGTTTTCCAACTCTGACCTGGCTATTCTGGGCTCATTTGCCTTCCCCTTTTACATTATCCTTTTGTCTATGTCAGTATGGACTCACAGGTTATTATTTTATTACTTCATGGCTTTATGGATTATTATTTTATTACTGTCATTTATTTTGTTGCTCAAGTTATTGCAGATCTCACCAATGGGAGATAGATTCCATCGTTCTTTGAACACTTTCCTACCTCCTGGCATAACAAAATATTCCAGGGTCTCTTGCACTTTTCCTGTCCTAGCCCTGGAATCAACCATTTTCCCAAGGAGACCTAGTTTCTTTTATTGTAGAATGGCATTCAGAGACCAACGTCTGGGAGCTAAATGTGCTCATTTTTTTCTGGGTTGTCATTGTATCTAGACCCTTGCAGTGGACAAAGCTGGGATAAATAAATGTATTTATGTGTGCAAGTATACAGGTATACACACATCTGTATTTCTATTTATACTGAAAATGATAAGCTCTTACTGTAACCATCTATTTCTGTCTAGCACCTCAGAATTCTTTCTATCCTCCCCCTTCTGTATCTGTAACTCTTTACTCAAGCATAATTATTTTGAGCTCCATTCATATTGTGTGCCTAAACAGTTCATTCCTTTTTATTGTTGAGTTTTATTCCATTAAATGGATATACCACAATTTTAGGAAAAAACCACAATTTTAGGAAATAGGCTTTCCCCCCAAAGTGATAGTACAATTTTACATTCCCACTAGCAGCTTAAGAAAGTTCTGGTTTCTCCACATTATCGCCAAACTGTGGGTATTGTCAGTCTTTTTAACTTTATACTTTGTAATAGGTATGTGGTGATATCTCTTGTGGTTTTAATTTGGCTTTCCCTAATGACCGTTGATTTTTAGTATCTTTCCATGTGTTTATTTGCTATCCATATACCATCTTTGGTATTTATTCAAATCTTTTGCCCATTTGTTAACAAATGGGTTGTTTCTTATTGCTGAGTTCTGAGAGTTCTTTATATATTCTGGATACAAGTCTCTATCAGATCTGTGGTTTATAATTATTTTCTCTCAGTTTTGGCTTAGCTTTTCATCTCTTCAGTAGTGTTATTTGAAAAGAAATTTTTACCTTTGATGAAGTCCAATTTATGAAGTTTTTTCTTTTATGGATTGTGCTTTTGGTGTTATATCTAATAAGATCTTTCTAAACCTAAGATCAAAAAGAATTTTCTCATGTTTTCTTTTACAAGTTTCATAATTTGGGGTTTTATATTTAGTCCTGTCATTAATCTTGAATAAATTTTTTTTTTTTGCGGTTTGTGGGCCTCTCACTGTTGTGGCCTCTCCCATTGCGGAGCACAGGCTCCAGACGCACAGGCTCAACGGCCATGGCTCACGGGCCTAGCGGCTCCGCAGCATGTGGGATCTTCCCAGACCGGGGCATGAACCCGTGTCCCCTGCATCGGCAGGCGGACTCTCAACCACTGCGCCACCAGGGAAGCCCTTGAATAAATTTTTGTATGTTGTATGAGGTATATAGATCTCCATTAATTTAAAAAAATATGAATATCCATTTTTTTCAGGCATCATTTGTTGAAAAGATTATCTCCACTGAATTTTACCTTTGCACTTTTGTGGAAAAATCAGTTGATCCTATACGTGTGGTTCTGTTTTTGAACTCCGTTCTATTCCATTTCTTTCTCTGTGTGCCAGTACCACACTGTCTTTTTTTTTTTTTTTTTTGCGGTTCACTGGCCTCTCACTGTTGTGGCCTCTCCCGTTGCGGAGCACAGGCTCCAGACGCGCAGGCTCAGCGGCCATGGCTCACGGGCCCATCCGCTCCGCGGCATGTGGGTTCTTCCCGGACCGGGGCACGAACCCGTGTCCCCTGCATCAGCAGGCAGACTCTCAACCACTGCGCCACCAGGGAAGCCCCACACTGTCTTGATTACTGGATCTTTGTAATCAATTAGTTTCGATTCAGGCAGTATATGTTTTCCAACTTGGTTTTTTTCCAAGTTGTTTTGGCTATTTTAGGTGCTTTGCATTCCTGTATGAATTTTAGAATGTTTGTCAATTTCTACAAAAAAGTATACTGGGGTTTTGATTGGGATTATGTTGAATCTGTAGAGCAATTTGGGGAGAGAATGCTATCTTAATAATATTTAAGTCTTTTGATCCGTATACATGGTATATCTCCTCATTTACTTAGATCTTTAGTTTTTCTCAAATGTTTTACAGTTTTTCAGTGTATATGTCTTATCACATCTATCCCTAAATAGGGGTATTCTTTCGTTTTAGGTTTTGATTGCTTATATATAGAAATTGAATTGATTTTTTACTGTTGATCTTGTTTCCTGCAACTGTGCTGAAATTCATTTATTCTAGCAACTTTTTGTAGGTAGTGTAGATTTTCTACACAGATGATCATGTCATCTGTGAATAAAGACAGTTTTAATTCTACTTTCCCAATGTAGATTCTTTTATTTCTGTTTTGACTTTTGATTTTTATTTGAAATACAGCAAGCCTGTATTCCATGTGTGGTCCCTCCCCACACACGTATTTGTTGACTTTATTTTACTTTTAGACTATGTGTGGCATTAACATTGTTCTAAAAGTCAGAACCGTATAAAAAGGTGTGTACTCAAAGGTAGTCACTCCCATCTTTTCATCATATTCCTGTCTCCCTCCTGTTTATTACACCTTGTTCCCACCCAGCATGTAAATTCCACCTTCAGTCTTGCCTAATTCATAGTGTTCACACTTTGGGTCTTTCCCTCCCACCATTCCATCATTTTTCTTTAAAGTAGCTGCCCCACAGATTTGAGCAAAAGTGTAGAAATTCTTTCTTTATAAAATCTAGAACACATTGATATACAAAATTAAATAAAAGGTAAGATTAAATAAAAGGTCTGGCGATTTCATAAAAGCAGGAATTCTTAAACCAGGCTTTATGAATTTTATAAAAGTATGTTTATATTGGTGTGTGTGTGTGTTTGTGTTTAGTTGAATTTTTCTTTTTCTGGAAGTAGATTCCATAACTTTCATTGTGTTTCAGAGGAATTTGTTTAAAGGGGAAAAAAAAGGTCAAGAAAGAGAATGCCTTTAGAATGAATGAGTTTGGGTCGAAGCAGTCTAAAGGCTGGTTAGTGAGCCTCTCTCTTCAGTCTGTTGTACCTTTGGAAGATAATGTTTTAATTGGCTCTCTTGTAATATGTGACTTGTTTGTGGTTAATCCAGTAGTACAGTCAACTCAACACCCGGCACTTGTAAACCTTTTGACCTACTGTTTTGTATCACAGATTTTTAAGAATTTGAATGCACTTCAGATGTTTCCTTTCAGGTTAAATCTTTTTGATGGTACTCTTTATTAAAGTTGTTAAAAGAATCTTTGGATTCC